TTTTGGTATGGTACTGGGACTCGAACCCAGAACCTGGCGCATGAGTGCATCAATGTCAATTCTCAGTTATAGACAACCATACTTGGATTTTACAAAACACTTTGTAATGTTTCCCAGCATGTTCCCTGTTTATTTTGCAAAGTGTGGCCTCTATCTGCCTAGGTGTCGATCTTAATGCCAATTCCTGTCAAGCCCAGGTGGGCTATGCACAGTGTACTAGCGTGGTCTGCTACTGTACGCAAAGCTCCCTTGAAATGGCTCTGGAATTTCAGCCCTTCGGCCAGCAACAGATACTTCTTGCCTTTGCCCAGAGGCATCCCAGGCCCTGGCTGTGGCCAGAGGTTTTCGCCCACTCCCTCTTTGGTCAGTCTTCCCTTGGAAGGCTGCTGCGTGTTCAGCTATTGGCTCCCATGCCTGTGTCCTGTTGAATCCTGTTGCTCAGGTCTCTGCTGTGAGCAGTTAAGGCCAGACCTCTCCTGTGTGGCAGCTGTGGGGAGTAGGGTGAGAAGAAGGCTCTGCCAGCATCAAAGCCCCCAGGATAGAAGTGAGCTTCCAGTAGTGTTAACCACCTTCAGGACTTGATTCCATCAACCTGTTAGTTTTTGTCTCCCCCAGATGTTGCTGGAATGGTGAATGTGATGTACGTGTGTGTGATGTGTGTGTGTGTGTGCGCGTGCGCGTGTGCACACGCGACAACACACAGAACGGGGAGTTTGCCTTATCCTTAGAAAACATGATGAGGTCTGCCCTGAAGAGGCAGCTTTTTTTCTATGGCAAAGTAAGCATTCACTTTAGGTTTCATCATTTCTATTTCTGGGCTGGTTTGTTCAAATGTGAGGAAGAATGAGTAGAATGGGCACATTACACACACATGTGCACACTTGGAAGCTATTAGCACCTCTGGACAAACCACCTCTGACGGAGCGAACTGTTCACATTTGGTCATTTCCTTCTCCATCATCCAAGAGCAGCATTTTGTTCTCTCTTTCTCTAAAAAGAAAAAAAATGTGCTAAGTTTAAACTCTGATTGCAAATTGATATGTCAGGAAACGTCTGCTGAGGGTTCTAAAGTTTATAACTTGAAGCTGTTTCAAGAAGTCTTACAGCTAAGGTAAGGCTGCCTCCTAACCTGTATCGTTCTTCTCATGGAGAAACTCCACCACACTCCTCTAAGTAATGAGCCAGGGGCTGGAGGGTCATATGCAAATAGCTGCCACCCACTGTGAGGAGGCTGTGGCTTATTTTGTTGGGCACTACCCAGACACCATTCTGGGTTGGCCACCCTGCCACGCAGGGCAGCAGTCTGTAAGAGAAGTGGGTACTTACAAGATCCAGGCCAACTAGAAGGTGAGCACTGACAAGGGAAGATAGGTGGCAGTGGGGGTGCTGGTGTGGGCCCCACGGAGCTGGCTCTGTAGGGTCAGGTATGTGGCTTGGAGTTTTTGTAGGGAGGATGCTGGTGTGAGTTACGAAAATTCTTGTGAATAGCAATTGCTCTTCTTGGCTGCAGTTCCCAGATTTCTTATTTAATGGAATGTTGAAAAGTCCTACGTGAGAAATGCTTTCATAGAAGTGACCACAGAATGTATACCTGTTTTAAGAATAGCCCAGTAGACTATAAAAACTGATCTATGGTGTTAGATTCTCAGAAAAATAGAACAAATGGGGAAAAAGTTTCCCTTTTTGTGTTAATTAGTAATGTTGGGGTGAAGGTGTCTCTAAATTGGAATATTTGAAGATGAAGTATTGCAGGTCAGTTCTGGGGGTGGACAACCTGTGTGCGCTTTAATGACAGACGTAGTCTAATGTGAGGGTAGCTCTGTAGGCACATTGTCTGAGGTTTCCCAGTAACCACAAGCCATTGTTTCACTATTTGTAGTATGAAATAATGTGTTCTTAATTAAAAACAAGCTATGACTGTTTCTAAAGACTCAGCTACAGCAGTAGGTTATAAATACTGACAGTGATAAACAGTCCCACCGAAACTCACGTCTTTCCTATGCAGAATGAAGCATATCCCGACCAACTTCCTCCCAGGTCCCGAATGTTCAGTAAGTGCACCTGTCAGTCAGGTGGTAACTTCAGCATCGTCTCTCTCCACCTTTCTCCTTCCCTTTCATTTGGGGCCTCTGTCATCTAGTGAGTGCATGGATGCACTAAACCCTGTGGTCACCGCTCAGGCTTCACGGAGACCTAGCTCACATGGTGCATTGCAAGACCTGGCAGTGTCAGGCAGAAGTGGATCCAGCCCGGATGTGCTGGGTTTGCTCAGCTGAGTGGAGGCTGTCCACTGCTGGAGGCAGGGTACACCCACTTCAGAGGAGGTTGGGGTGAAGCCCAGCGTTCCAGTCTGAAGGGCTGGTCTGGAACTGGAAAAGCGTTCTAGGCATAGTGCCTATGACGCACAGAGTTGTGAAATTGCTTTTTGGGAGGGAACTATAGCCTGTGCTGTTTGTCATGCCTAATACAGGAGATGAAGAGGGCGAGCAAGTCTGTCTTCAGTAAGGGAAGCGCCTTACTTTGAAAATAATTGTTCATGTTGTGCCCAGGTCCTTCGTCTCCCTTCTGTACTTGGCTTTAAGCTACACTCAAGCCACATAGACTGAGTCTGTTCTCTGCTGTGTGCCCGCAACTTAACATTAGCCTGTTTCTCTTTAGTTATCTATTACCTTTTGGTCACCTGAGGATTTTATAGTGGGCCCTTTCTCTCTAATTTCCTGAGGATCCTCATCTTCAATATTTTTGACATTGTTTTCAGACATTTTCTGATGACATTCCCCCTCCTGAGATTCGCCACAGTTCTTCTACCTCTCAACTCCTCACACTCTCTTTCTCTCTTTAAAAAAGAAACAAAAATAAGAAACACATAGAGACAGAGGGAAAAAAGCAGAAACCAAACCGTAGAAGCAAAAGGCTAGGAGTGGTGAATGCCTTTTAACCCCAGCACTTAGGAGACAGTGGCAGGAGTATCTCGAGTTCAAAACCAGCCTGGTCTACAGAGTGAGTTCCAGAACAGCCAGGACTACGTAGAGAGACCCTGTGTCAAAACAAAGCCACAAAAAATATACACGTGAAAGACCAATATGATTTAAAAAAAAGAAATAAAATGTTCCAATTTGAATAAAAAAATGCCATTGAGTTCATTTTGTGTTGATCACCTACTACTGAGAATGGGGTCTACCTTGCAGTATGATTAATATACCCAGTGAGATTCCATTGGAGAAAACTAATTTTTCCTTTGTATGGCGATGTCAATTGCAAAGAGCTTCTTGGTTAGGGGTCGGAGACAGTGTTCACTTTCTCTTTTCAGCAGTGGGATCCCATCTCAAAAATGTGCAGACCCTGTGCATGCTCTTGTAGTCTCTGAACCTACATGAATGATTTTCTTTTAAATGTTATGCATGTTACCCTTTTAAAGAAAAACATGGGGTATGTGCATATAAGCCAGAGTGTAACTTCCAGGAGTTGTTTCTCTTCCACCATGCAGATCCCAGGGCTTAAAGTTGGGTGGGCAGGCTTGGCAAGCACTTTCACTTGCTGAGACACCTTGTCAGTGCACTGTTGTCCTTAGACGCAAACTAAGAGGGAAATAGATACTGTGAATGGTCAAAGAGGACCAGGATATGGGTTGAAGTAGTTCCCAGATGAAATGTTGAACTTCTCAGTATATCATTTGCACATGAGTCTTACGGATCAGAGTGTGCTTTCACTGGCCCTAGCTGTGAGAGCTTAACACTAACACTAACACTAAAAGAACTCTGCCGTAGGGCAGTATGGCATCCTCGAGCTCACCAGGAGGGCCTTGCCTGTCTCAGCACAGTTTTGAGAGATGCTGAGTGAACACAGCATGTCCATTCTGAGAGTTAAGTGGCTAAGAGCAGGCCAGCCGATGGCATTGGACTGAGGTGTTGAGGGAAGGGGAGTGGGGAAGGGATTCCATCCCTGACACACAGCAGCCTCCAAGACTGAAGGACTTAAGAAAAGCTGCTTGCTGACTGGCAGCCCATTGGTTTTGAGGGCACTCTGTTCTGTGACCTTTTCCCGCCCACATTTATCCACAGAGCAGAGAATCCAAAGATTACTTAATTCTTAAAGAATTCCGTCATGACCATTGTACTGTCCATCACCTTATCACCGTTATTAGGTGTAGACGCATAAGGCCTCCTTTATGATGGGCTAGGTGTTGCTTCTAGACCGACCTCACACTGGCCCAGCCAAACACGTGAAGCTGACCTGTAAGGATGCTTCTCTTTGATGTTTGTTCTGCTGTGGGTCAGTAGATTGTTATGTGGAGAGCCATGTTTTAAACACGTCAACTGCCATGGCCACATAAATATAAGGGCCTTTCTTCTTAGCTAGGACAAAGCCTTTTCTTTTCAGAATAAATCAAAAATGCTAGTACATGGGGGTGGCCAACATAGGAATACATGTATACTCCATGTTTTGTTTTTTTTGTTTTTAATAAGAACTGTTTATTGTTTGATCTTTTCCAGGGCCAGGGATAATCATGGATTATTTCTGTACCAGATTAAAAGCCCACTTTTCTGTCCTAATGACAGTAATTTAAACAAAAACACAGTCCAGTACATTGTATTAGCCAACTACATATCTGTGTCTTTCACTAAAATAAAAAGGATAAGTTTGTGTTGGCCTACAGTTTTGGATGTTTAAGTTATAACAACTGTCCATTGCATTAGGCCTGTGGAGGGGGGCTGTGGATGGATCGAAGTGGGCACAAGGGAGATGCCGCCACCTCTCACTAGTGCTAAGCTGGAGTAGTTCCAGTGCAATCCTTGCATAGCTGGGTCTTTGGGGCTGGGTATAAACCACAGCTGTAAAGATACCCAGACCACTGTGCTCAGTTTTTAGGGATCTTAGAGTTGGCCCCACGGCATCTCCTCCATATTCCAGGAAGAATCCATCTTTTAGATGCCCATTCACATCTGTCCATAGCCCTGACTACTGTAAAGACCAACTTCACTTCTCTCTCACTGTCCCAGAAGCCCTGGAACTGCTCTTTCTACTTGGTCTCCCTGCCCTCATGTTGTCCACACAGCAGCCGGATCTTACAGTGCCTTCCCAGAAGACCTCTGTACTCTGCCACTGCAATAAAAGCCACAGGCTCATAGTGCCGTAATGTGAGTTGCTCGCCATAGCTAGGGATGTCTGTCCCAAAATGTCCTCAACCTTCTTTTGTAAGCCTTTCCAAGATCATGTGGCAGTTCCTTAATAAGGTGTCCCTTAACTGCCGGGTCTGACCGCCCCACTCCAGTTCACTTTTCTAAATGACACTGAATATCACCCGGTGTGTTTGTTCATTGTCTCTTCCTAGAATGTCACCTCCTCCCAGTGCAGATGTTGTCTTCAGTGTGTGTCTCTGATGTCTAGAAGTGAGCCTGACCTATTTTACACGCACACAAAGATTGAATGCAATTGACTCTCTAACCCCATGTCTAGATACAGATTTATAAATGGGTGGCGTGTGTGTGTGTGGGGTCTCTCTACTAGTTTGGTTTCTAATCCCCTCACATAAGAGAACTGAAATGTAAATGTGTAAAAAATAACCACAGCTGTGAACCATTTAAAACACTAGGCATCCAGTTAAGAAATGACAGTTGTTGATTTGGGAGGCAAGTGGGAGGCAAACACAGTGGTCCCTTGCAGTGGTCCTTCGTGTCCCGGGGATTTGAGAAAGGCAGCAGCAGGAAGGCCTTCTTCTGCAGTGCTCACACTTCTCACTGGCAGCCCCTGAGCTGTGGTGGCACCCTGAAGTGAACTCGGCCTTTTGAGTATGTTTCCCATCATTGTACCAGCTGAGGACGTCCTTGGCCAAGTGTGTGTTTTCCTTTTTGTTGATGGTGTTTCTTAGTAACCTCTGCCAGAGGCCTCGCTGAAGAATTGCTCCTCAATCGTCTTGAACTTTGTGCTCTTTCTCCTTTATTAGCTTTAGGTTTATTTTAGCCATAGAAGTATAGGAAACAGCAGTAACAATAAAAATTGAGACATTAACATACATAGAGCCCTTCTGGCTCCTGGTTATCTTGAAGTAAGGGACACCACAGGGAGGTTGACACTTGGTCTTCCCTGTTGGGGTGACGGTACATTGGGTTCTAATGGTCCTACAGCATCATCCATTCAAGAATAGATCTGCTGAGCCCCTGTAGTAAACTGTGCCAATCAAATGAGCAGGTCCACCTCAGGGGCTGTGGTTTTTGTGAGAGAAGGTTAAAGAGAAAACTGCAGAGGGAGCAGGACCAGAGTGGGCCAAGTGTCAGCTGTGGTGCTTATCCGAACATCCAGGGTAAAAAAGTAAGTATGCTTGAATCCCCGTCCGATTTATGTTTTATGGCGTTTCCCCAAGACAAGAAACTGGGAGGGAATACGAGCTAGAGGCGTGTTCTCGTTTGTCCAGGGGAAGGGCAGTGGCAGGAGGGCCTGGGCTAGAGCAGAAGAGAAGGGCTGGGTTGTTATTGTGGGTGGCTCCAGCAGGCTCACCAGACAATTCCAAGGATGGGTCCTCTTCTCCAAACTGCCATAAGATGGCCGTGTCAAGGAGCTACTTGGGTACTGACAGAACAGGAACTATTGACCAAACTAGGCAGAGCTGCCTGGGGGTTTTGATAGTCTGTTTTTCATTACAAATGAATGCTGGATGTTATGACCTTGTTAGTGTGTTAGGAGCTTCTCTATTGTGAGGCTTGCTTCAGCATCCCACCACAGCTGGGACTAAGACATGTGAGAAACCCTGGAGAAGGCGCCTTTGGTTCCTCGCTAGTCACAAACTTCCCAGGGTAAATGTCATTCGATCCTTGCCTCAACAGTAGCATTCCTTTTCGACAGACACTTTTTCTATTGTGTTGAATGTTTAGGTAACTCTTAAAACTGCATAGCTGCAGTTACTTTATAGGGTAGAGGGTGAGGTGCCTACAAATGATCTTCATAGGCAGGGTGACTTGGGAAAGCGTATCAAGGGCTGGCAAAATGGTTTAACCAGTGAAGGTGCTTGCCTCTAAACGCAAGGACCTGAGTTCAATCCTCCAGCCCCCCTTGGTTGGTGGAAGGAGAAGACCAACTGTTGCAAGGTGACCTCTTCACAAGCCCCTCCCCCACCCCGATATCGTTAAATGTAATCATACCAAACAGAAGGACCCAGAGTGAGGAGAACCTCCGCTAAACCCAAATCATGGTGTCACATAGTATTCTTTGAAGCCACCAGATAACTTGTTTTTAATGTCCTTATTACTAGTCAATGGGGAGATAGTTTTTTAAATGGGTATTTTTTCCCTTTAATTTTTTTTTTATGAATGCAATAAAGATAGACAGCCTGAAATGGTAAATTAAGGTTCTCCTGAGTCTGGGAAATATTAAACAACCATCGAAAACTTGTTGGTGCGCCGTTGTGAACTCTTGCTAAAAATTGTGTCCTCATCTTTTGCAGGGGGAAAATGGTAGCAACTCTGGCCCTTTTAACGGAACACAGGAAATCACCAACAACCAGGTAAGTGAAATTAGTTGTGTGTGTATTTATTGCATTGATTATTTATAAGTGATTAGAATAGTATCTGACACAGGATACAGTGTGTGTTTGCCCTTTTCTAAGTTATTGCCAGTCTACCTAAGCCCCAGATGAACTAGTCGTAAACAGAAAACTGCACACAAAGTCACACCCTCTGACCCAAGGGTAAATGAACAGCCTTGGTAAGTTCAGATATGGCCTGAGTGGATGCAAGATACTTAATCATGGCACACCAATTTATTTTTGCCTTTAAGTACCCATTCATAATAACTTTGAATGTGAAATAGGTTTCAGTTTTGAAACTAAAGAGCTGCTTTGAAATTTGTTGAAACTTTATAATAACTTTTAAGTAATAGTAATTATTATGACTATTAAACTTTTGTAGACAGAGCCTCATGTAGCTCAAGCTATTCTCAAACTCTGTATGTAGCTGAGGCTGGCCTTAAAGTCCTGGTCCTTTTGCCTCCTAAGTGCTGGGATGACAAACATACACCACTCTGCCCAGCCTTGAAATTCCTTTAAGAAAATAAAGTGTATGTATTGGGGGGGGGATGCAGGTGGCAGAGGACAGTTTGTTCTCTTTTTCTACCATGTGAGTCCCAGGGATTGACCTCAGACCATCAGACTTTATGGCAAGCATCTTTACTTGCTGAGCCATCTAGCAGGAACTGGAGAATTTATCATTAGGGAAAATGATAGCTTTGTTTAGCTTTGTTTACAGGTGGCCACCAGGGTGGCTTAGGGATTGGCATTAATGATACAATAAAGATGACATTAGGAACAGCACCTCACGTTCTAAGTGCAGCAGATAACATGGATGAGAAACTCCCAATTGTTGAATGTTCAATTTTGTGGTACCATGGAAGCTTTGACACCAAGCCAATGAAGATAGAGACACACATGGCGCCTGTGGATTTAGTGAGCACGGGCCCTTCCTCCTTGTTTCATCTGTCTCTTTGATTCTGCATATTCAGACTCATGTCTCCTTGTGTGATGATGCTCTGGACTTGACACCCCTCATTTTCAACCTTGCTATCTTCTTGGTTCCTCTCCTTTACTCGGGGAGGGACCGATCTGTTTGATTGTTCTCTGGATGGCCTTCATGCTGCACCTTCGTTCCCTGTGATATGGCTTGGTAAGTTACCTGCCTTATCTTAAATACAGGGTCGCTTGGTGTTTGTTATGGTTCTCTGCTTGCATTCGGGGTTGTGATGTTACCTGTGGGGTTGCTCTTCTCCTGGGCGGTACTAGCGTGGCCATTACCAGCACCACGGATGCACTGAGTATGTCTGTGACACTCACACCCACAGGAGGAAATACCAGTTAGCACTGCATACCTGTCACAGTTTTCTATTTTGTTCTTGTTGTTTTGAGACTGGGTCTTTCTACATAACCCTGACTATTCAGGAACTCTCTACGTAGACCAGGTTGGCCTCAAACTCACAGGGCCTCTGCCTTCCCCAGTGCTGGGATTAAAGGCGTGCAGCACCACACCTGGCCCTTAGTTTGTTTCATGCTAACACATCCTCTTTTTAATGTGGATCGTGACTTCCAGGTTAATCTCCTCTGGTAGACTTGTGAGACTTCCGTGCCCTTTTTCCTTGCCCTTGAGATTGTGTTCTGTGCACTGCTGTGTCTTTGACCCTAAAACCTCTGCAGACTTACCTTAATTATCTAAAAAATTATTTCATGTGTGCCAATCTTTGCCTGCACGTATGTATGTGTGCACTATGTGTGTGCCATGCCCTCGGAGGCCAAAGAGCATTTGATGCAGTGGAACTAGTCACAGATGAGTCTTACGAGGCCGTGGACACTCTATCCCAGCTCTTTAGTTTATTTTGTTGCAGCAAACTTTGACCTTTTGGTAACTGACTTCTCTTGTTTTCTGCTTGCCATCCCCTGCTCAGCTGTCTTTCTGTTTGAGCTTTGACACTGCTTTCCTGACCAGTAACAAAGAATCATACTTGCCATTTTGAAAGCCCATCCTTTTGTGCTGTGAGATCTCACTATTTGGCAGCACAGAGGAGGTAAGCTGGTCAGTTTAGTGCTTATCACATAAGGCTGAGGCCCTGGATTTGAATCTAGCCCCCACGGAGAAAGCCAGGCAAGGCAGCATGGATCTGTAACTTTATCGCTAGCACTGTGGGGCAGAGACGGGAAAATCCCTGACAAGCTAATGTAACCTTATCAGTTGAGCACAAACTTCAGTAAGAGAAACTGTCCCCAGAATGAATGAATGAATGAATGAATGAATGAATGAATGAATGGCCATGAGTGTTAGAAAGACGCCTGACAGTGACCTCTGGTCTCTACCGGCCCACGTGCACATGCACATACACATGAACATATGTGTCCCCCATGTAAAGATTTGCTATTAAGTAATTTTAAGAAAATACTTCTGCATTAATTTTCATAATTTTTATATTGAAATGTACAGTTCCTCAGAAACATAACTGTGGTGGTGCTCTGATCTCAAAAAATCCACCCTCCCACCCTATAAGTGGTCAGATCCAGGGATCACATGGTAGGGTCTTCCTTAACTGGTCCTCTCCTTGCTTGGTGTCAAACACTCCAGAGAGACACCTCCTGGCCAAAATGTAGTATTGCATTGCTGTTCTCATCTCGAATTTACCATAGGACCTTAACGTTTTGTAGTATGTGGATACATTTTATACTAGAATGTGCTGATGCTTCCTGCCTAAGCCCCTCAAACATACTTTCCATATATAGTGCATGTCTGATGAACCTAATAAGTATTCCGTATCTTTGAATTTGGTTCAAGGAATAGGGGTGTAATGGAGAAAAGGATTTCATGATAAAACACTAGTCCTGGCCTTCCTACATGTTCAGTGGGGCTACAAAATAATTGTGCAGTAACTATTTCTCAGGCCTGGGTCATTTAAAAGATTTTGAAAGGGGTAAGGAGTAACTCACTTCTCCACGACAGAGTAAGAGCTTATTTTTTAGGTGGTTTAGTTTTATTGCATGAGAGATGCATTTGTTCCCATTTACAAACTTTGCAATGAAAGAATAGAGCCAGAGACAGAGAGTTGGTTCAGTGATTAAGAGCACAAGCTGCTTAAAAGGGTCCAGGTTTGCATCCAGCCCCCACATGGCTGCTCACAACCACCGCTGACTACTCCTTAGGCATGAGATGTGCTCACACAGGCAGAATACTCATACATAAAGAAAATTTAAACATCAAAACAAAATTCTAGAATAGAAATCCAGGGTACTTACAGTTTGCTTCAGAGCCCCAGTAGAAACAACATGGTGGCTTCTGAGCAAGTTCTTACTGAGGACAGAACCAGGCTCAGTTCAAAAGACAAAATAAATGATTATGCACTTCCTAAGGGTATATACTATGTCCATAACAGATTTTAAGGACTACCATGTACAAAATTGTTCTTTAATTTGAACTAAGCTAGTAGTAACCCACCTGCCTTTGAGAAATATCCTGAAGTTTGTAGGTAACTGTTAAGAGCTTTGGCTGGAATATTTCTCTTGTTGCTTGAAAATAAGATTTTTCACCTTTTTGCTAACCTGTCCTTTGTATAGTTTTCTACAAATAAGTGAAGGGAAGTTGGTAGGAAAATGCCAGAATGTGTGTTCGTCCCTGTAGGCAGCATCCCTGAGCAAGCAAGATGGAACTCAGTGTGGGCCTACCTGCCATGTGTCCTCATGCCGTCTCTGTCCCTCTTCAGTAGGTAAGCTTTGTGTCACTGGCCGGAAATTGCAGTGGCTTTAGAGAGTGGCAGACGTGGGGAGATAGAGCTGTTGGCCTAAGGGAACATAAAATGATGCATTTGTGTTTTGTAACCTCAGACACGAAGAACATGTGTTTGAAAATATGTCTTTCACTTTTCCTGTCTTCCTGGCTATCGTCCTGTGAAGCTGTTCCTTTTGTCAGGGCCCCTTGATTGATCTGAGAGAAGCCGGTGTCCAAGCTTAAATGAGTCTAGAAGGGAGGTAACCAGAGGTGAGGTAGTGTATTCCAGAGGCTGGTTTTGAACCCGGGGCTGAATGCCAAAGCATCTCTGTTGATATGGTGTGCACATTAATTGTGGTCAGCAAATGGCCACTGTTACTGCCAGGCCCAAGACAGGGTGCTGCCAAAACTGCAGAAGGAAGTTGTTGCATTTGTCTCCTGTAGTTAGGGATTTTGATCTGCTTTGCATTTTCTGGATGTATATGACGAAGAAAATAATAATGTTAGGCTAGGGAAATGGCTCGGTCACAGGTGTGCCTTCTATGCAGGCATGAGAACCTGAGTTCACATCTTCGGATATCCATGTGAAAAGCTAGCTGTATGACTGTCACCATAGCACTGGGTGGTGAGGGACAGACAGAAGGATCCCCAGGGCTCTTGGTCCAACCAGTCTAGCCAATCCCATGAGCTCCTGGTTAAGTGAGAGCCCTGCCCCCAAAATAGGTGCAGAGTAACTGAAAAAGGCATCTGGTGTCAAAATCTGGCTTCCCATGCACGTGCACACACGTGCTCTGCATACACACAACACAAAACAGTAACTAATTTTCAAAGTTAAGTAAGTAATCATGTTTCATTTGGTGAGTCCCACATGCTAAGCATCAGCTGAAAGCATAAGTCGAGGACCTACTGCCATTCAGTCTAATGCTTACAACATCAGAAAGCCAGGTGAGCAAAGGCTGAAATACACTTTTCTATCCTTGCTGAGAATCGTGTGGCAAGCAGGGCCTCATTGGAACCTCATGCTCTTTGGGTCCAAATAATACTGAAGCACTATTTGCAGTTTTAAGGAGCTTCTCATTTTACAAGGGGGTGAGCTGTGGTGACCAAAGAAAGTAGAGGGTATAATAGAATAACACAGTGACCCAAGCTCTCTGCAGTTTCGAGCACTTTAATAATTTTGGTGTTAGAAGTTCTAAAGTGAATACTTGGAAATTGTACTCCACATTTAGTTATCAGATAGAGTAATTAAGAGTACCTTTTCCAAACGAACCTCTTGTATGTACCAGGGTGTGTCTGTTTCAGTGCTTCAGGTATGGCCATATCAGGGATTATTAGGAAGATAGGAGATGGACATACAAGCACTGGGCCAGTGTGTGTGTATGTATGTGTGTATGTGTATGTATGTATGTATGTATGCACAATGTTTAGTTGTCCCTGTTTTTTACATCAATGGATACTGTGTAAGGGCTCCAGTTTCTCATCTCTTTTCTGTCGTTGTCGTCGTCTTCTTTTTTTTTATTTTTAAATAGTAACCCTCCTAAAAGGTAGGAGGAGATAGCCTACTGTGGTTTGTTTTGTTTTGAAACAGAGTATGTAAACTAGGCTGGCCTGGATCTCAGAGCTGCCTTGCCTTGCTCTGCCTCCTAGTGCTGGGATTGAAGGTGTGCTTCACCTCACCCAGTTCCCACTGTGATTTTGATTTGCATTTTCTTGCAAACCAGTAATGTTGAAAATCTATTCATGTGCATCACGGTCATATTTGTATGTCTTCTTTGGAGAAATGCCTGCTTTAGAAATGAGATTGTTTTGCTGCTGGGCCTTGGGCACCCCTTACCTGCTCTGTGTGACTGTCAGATACGTGACTGACAGCTGCCTTACCCAAGCCCTAGGGTCTCCTCCACAGCCCCGCCTCCTGTGCCATGCTGACCTGCTTCACTTGCTCTGATCCTGCTTGTCCGGTTTTGCTCTTGTTACTTGTGCTTTCGTCATACTCGTCATACTCGAGAAAGCCTGCCTAGATGGAATGGCGTAGCACTTTCCCTGTATTTTCTCCAAATAATGACATGCATTCAGTTGTTTAAGTCTTTGGCCCATTTATATTCACTTTAATTTTGAAAATCACATTGTATGTGTTTGCTGTATATGAGTGTGCACTCCATGTACTCTTATGCAGTGCTGTACAGGTGTGGGGGTCAGAAGATGGCTCACAGGGCTAGGTGTACTCTGGTCCTGGGGACGGAGCTCAGATTGTCAGGCTTGGCAGAAGGCACCTTTCCTCCATTCACCTGCCTCACCAACCCATGGGACACATTATCTTGTAGGGTGTATGACAGATCAGTTTTATTTTTCATGTTCTCAGCACTGTTCATCTAGGGGCCTGTTCTTTTGGATGTCTGAGTTGTCTTTGTCAGGATCCGTTGGCTGTACACAGGGGTGTATCTTCCAGTGATTGTGTCTGTTTTAATGACACCATACTGCTTTAATCACTATAGCTTTATAGTGTATTTAAAAGTCAGGTAGCATTGTCCCTCCCTTCTTGTTCTTTCTGTTTGGACTGTTGCAGAATCTTTATCTTACCTTAAGAATTTGAGGATACATTTTGCTAAAAAATGCCATCCGGATTTATTTTACGGTTTTAAGACATGCTATTGACTTTGTGAGTATCCACTCAGATCCTAGTTCACTGGTTTTTCCACTTTGCCAGCTTGAGGGCAGGAAGGACAGAGGCCCACCCTCATCCTCCGACAATGAAGGCTTTGTGAGCTGCTTTCAAACCTGGAGCAGCTTCCTCCTTTAACAATAGCTCCTCCCTTAAATGTTCCCTGTCCTCCTAGTTCTGCACACTCTTCCTCAGCTCCAAAAACACTGCCCTCATTTCTGTACTCTAGGGAGGCCTCAGCCAGACTCTTAATATAAGCGAGCGCAGCTGGCTACAAAGTTGGTAGCTATGCTGTTTTTCCTGGCATAAATGCAAGGGGTTTGTGATGGTGGTTTTTGTTTGGAGACAGGGTCTTATGGGTACCTCAGGCCTGCCCCGTTCGTGTCAGTTAAAAGAAAAGAAGCTTAATTGCCACATTGGAGGTTCTCCTCTCTTCTGCAGGCTGTCTTGCAAAAAAATAACGCTCCTGTCTCAGCTCAGGAAGCGGGCAGGTAAGTGGACGAGAAGAATGAGTAGCAGCAGCATCGCAAAAGTCCCCACATGCCACTTGCAGCAAGGGTCACATTTCTCCCAAGGGTATCTTTCTCAGAAGCAGGTTAGCCATATTAGTACATAATTGAATCATCCTTTTATTTCTTGCAACCACAGTGTGTGCCTCAGTCAATGTCAATTGTACTGGTTTCAGATACACTGTGTATTTCGTAGAAATGAACAGCTCAGTCTGTTCATTAAGAGAAATAACTTTAAAATACCAAAAAATCATTTTACTGATGGATAGGTAAAGTCATCTTTCCTGCCTCTTCTGTGAATTAACAGTCAAAAGTAAACAGTATTATTCAAGGAAGATTTTAACAGTGCTCTGTCTGAACTGTGTGTTGTAAAAGGAGAATTACTTTTATTAGTTTTTAAGTCACCTAGAGACTCTGTGGAAAGACATAAGAAAGTGTGGGACAACACGGTCACCGCAGTTTAGCCCCAGATTTTATTCAAGGGTTTCATGACATTTACAAATACCCTAAACTGTTCTGAAATCCTCTATGTGACAGTGTGTAAACCAGCCAAATATATTAATCTTGATAACTTTTATTTTTAAAGATACTTGGTTTCTTGGGGGGGGGGGCTGGGGACAAAGTTGCTTGCATGATAAAAATCTGCAGTTACAGTTAAGTGTCAGACGAAGACCTGAGTACTGCTTTCCTTTGCTAGTAGTATTGACTACTTCAGCTCACATGATGCAAGAAGGGCTCTCCCGTAGCTGTCTTCTCACTGTTTGTACTAGGTACTTGTCATTGGGATCAGACACTCAGGAGAAGCAGCTTAAGGGAGGAAGGAATTACTGTGTCTCACAGTTGAAAGGGACACAGTCCATCATGGCTTGAAGGCATGCAAGTGTTGCTAGTGTATGGCTCAGGACTCCTTGCATCTCAGCATCTCCAGGAGCTAGTGCACAAGCAGGGCGTGCCCACCCATCACAGCAGCCCACTTCCTCCAGTGAGGCCTCACCTTTTAAAGGTTCCACAGTTTTTCAGAACAGCTCTCTCTATCCAGTATTCATTAAGCATTCAACATATGAGCATGTGGGGTAACACTTCACACCCAAATTATAACCTTTAAACTGCAGTTTGAGTGGTGCTGAAAAAGTAAGGTTCTTACCCAAGGGTCTGAGTCTGAGGACTCAACGCTGCCAACAATAGTGTTGAGTCTTACATCTGTATAAGACCCTGTTATAAAACATGCTGGGTAACCTGAAGGCAGCAAGGAGGTTGCATGGGCAAATAGTTGTGTCCCATGTCATTTCATGTTTTCATGAATCGTAACTGTATACCCATCACACGGTGCTAGACCTGCGATTCTCTCTGAGCCTGTAGGAAGCTCATGAGGTTCCCAGTCAGGATGCAAAGACCGAGGCAGCCCTGGAGCTCCAGATACCCAGCCCAGAAGTCACATCACCAGCATGTCAATGGCTTGTGGACATAGTCATGGGATAAGAATGGACGTTAATACAGAGTTAAGGACCAACACTGCAGCTGACTCCTTCCTTCTCTCTGTGATGTGAGTAAGAAGCCACATTTATTGCAGAAAGGTAAGGGATTCGGTCGCTGCATTTCAGTCTGCAGCACAGAGAAAGGTGGATGTGCTGTTAGCGCTTCTGGGAAGAGTGGTGCATGCGCCCTGGGGCATGAAACATAAAGAAGTGAGGCTAGACCTGAGGTAGCTTAGGTTTTCTTTCTCGCAGCGTCAGCACAATTGTGCCGCTGGTGGCTCTGCGACTAAAAGCATGTCTTGAGATGCTAAACTCCATGACTCAAACTACATAGCGGGCAGCTGACTTAATTTTTTTTGTGTGTTGTTTATCTGTAAAACAAACAATGTTAGTGTCATCTTTATTGGACTACTGAGAAGATGAAGGGAGTCAGTGGTATGTCCAATGTATAGAACATTCTGTGGCACATAGCACGTACTGTGTGATAGCTGCCATAACTGTAATTTAATCCTGCTTAATAATTCACAATTAACACTATGTAATGGAATTGAAGTAGATTTTTCTTGTTGGGTTTTTTGTTGGAGTTTTTTGTTTGTTTTGTGTTTTGTTTGTTTTTTAGCTTCATCTTCTCTTAACATCCACTAGGGAGAATTTATACAGGGTGATTGACTGAATAATGACTTAGAAGATACCTTTAGGATCAGCGTTTAGCATAGTGTAACTTGGTTTATGGATTAGTTCCCAAGATAAGAAGGATGGCATAGTTCAGTTCTAATTAATTCTACAGGTGATACACCCACTTCATTTCAAGCATAATTTCCAGCCTTTGATAGTAGACCATTTTCTTTCCCAGAAAGGATTGGATTTACAACGTGGGAAAGTACATGCCACACACACGCAGTTACGTGAGAGTGATGAGCGCCAGCCTTTTTATTCTGTTTTGTTTCCTTTTCTAAAAGTGCTGCTTACATTACAAATGGGTTACTGCATGGTTTGAAGAACCCTCCGTTAGATCACAGACTGGCTTCACAGGGCTCCAAAGGAGCAAGATTGAAGAAAAATATAGCTGCCTTCCTTTCCCTAAGCCCCCTGCTGGCAGAACTGGAAATCTACCACTCCACACTCACACTAGGTCCATTAATCATTTTCATAAGTAATTTAAAATTAGCAATGCTAATAGTAAAAGATTTTTCAGATGACAGTCTCCTAACTCCCTCCCCTAGAGAGTCTTACAGGAGGACCGAGACCTGAAGAGTCCTCGGCTCTACTGGGCTGCCCAAGGCTCTGGCCTGTGCCTGTTGAACCAGCCCCATGCCTGTGGGAAGTTTGCCTCTGCTCATCGTCGGACACCACAAGGCTGACCACACTGCATGACACCATTCTGAACCCTGCCCCATGCTCTCACCATCTGAGTCACCAGCCAGACCAAATAGCTACTTCCCTGGAAGATTGACAACCAGCTTCTTACCAAGCTTACCATACAAGAGCCTTCCCAGATTGCTTTGCACACATCTTGGTCACATACGTGGCCATTCAGCACACCTGTGGTCCATTGGTTTCTCCTGGTGCAGGGTGTATGTCCAACACAACCCCTTTCTGCTGGACTTGGAGGAATTTGACCACTGTTCCCTCTCTCCCTGATGACCTTTCAAGCCATAGTGTTGTTGATCCCGTATATATGGAGTAGGTATACATATTCCATCTGCATTTTAAGTCTCTGTCTTCTCCTAAGAACAGTCATCAGTAAACTGAGGAAGTTTCCCAGCCCTAGTGACTAAACCTTCCTACATTTGCATATAGACAGCTGAAGGTCATTCTTTGCATGCTTCTCCACTGCTGACCCGCATTGCACCACAGATTCACACCTGCTCTTCACAACTCTTCACAGAACATTGTGCACACATCATGAGTGAAGTCAGCTCCGTGGAATGCCCTGGATCCCCGAGAGTCATTAGAAGCACTGTTCCTAAGGGAAGACGAACTCCAATCCTAAACCAATAGGTAATAATAATCTTTTTTTAAATCATTATTAGTCCCTTAGTGAGTCTAATTTATGAATTGAAGTTTATCATCCAAATGTATGCAAAGGAGAAAGTTCATTGTGCATTGGGTGTTTTGTACTCACTGAGGTTTCAGGTAGCCACTGAGAGTCTCAGAATGTGTCCCATGATTAAGGGCAGCCTTTTTAGATGCTGTTAACTGTGCTAGAATGTTTCCTCGTCATTTGCAGGGCAAAACTAAAAAATCAGAATCATAGGAAAATAGTGATTGAAGCATGAATTTGGAAATGCCGCTCATTTAAATGCCCATGTGTATTTGGGATACAGGAATATCAAGTTCTCTCCTGACTTTATTTAGGTAGTGTGTTTTCTGAAAGGGCAGTTGATTATGGAGCTCTGGGGCTTCCCAGATCCAAGCTGGTGGTGGCCCTGGGTGGACTTTGGACATCCATCTCTTCTCACTTTGGGCATTTTTCTGCAATACACTTGACATATAGCCACTTAATCGGGTGAGAGCTATCTTTTTAAAACCAAAAAACAGTACCCAGAAGACAAGAAAGGACTTCCATGTTTCCGTGTTGGCAGAAGCGCTTAGAAATAACCGCCTGTTAGAGATGGCGTTTCGATCTTTGCTCCTAGCCTGACGTGGTATTAAGATCTTTTGGTTAATGATTGCCTAACATTAAGTTCCCCTTTGCCTTTGACTCTCAGATGTGTGTGCTTGAGCCTGATGCTTGTAGTAAGTCAGCCTCCCACTCAGCCATGCACTGGTTAAGAGCAAGGGCACATCCTTAAAAAGATGTCAGGTGATTTCGTTGTTGTGGAGGTCACAGTGTATGCTTTGCAAGTGAAGACAGTTCGGCATCCCTGGGCAATATCTTGTGGGTCTGTTTTTGTGTAAAGGGCCTATCCTTCACAGAAAGACAATTACATAGTACAGGGCCTAATAGATTAACTCACTAGCAAATAAAAATTAAGTATATACATATCTGAGTTGAGATGTAATGAGCTCTCGTGCATCAAGATGGTGTTGGTATACATTTTGAAACATGTCTTGACAAAAGTTTGTTTCTAAAATGATCTTAAACTTATGCTAGGGGTAAGGCTGACTAGGAGTGCAGGTGGAGATGATAGTTCTAGTGTTTGGGTTGGCGCCTGTCAAAGGTGTGGCAGAGCTCTGAAGTTCAATGCTGTTGTTAGGGTATTTGTCTGAGATTGGACCTGAGATTTGACCTGCATTAAAAGAAAAAAACTAGGCATGCCTCAGTCTGAGACATAAAGGCATACGGAGGATACATTGATAGTTTAAAGAAGTATCAAAAGAGTTTGGCTGTACCACCTCAGGGGTGATATGCATTAACAGGGATAAGCCAGAAGGGCTGGTGTCTTCTGTTGCACTGCGGCAACCAAGGGTGTTCTCCTGCTGTTGATACGGTGCAGTGGGCCTTCACCTGAGATGCTATTTGGGGAATGAAAGGGATTTCGATGCTAAAATGAAGTTCAAGAATCTCTGTTCTGACACAGCCAAATTTAACTATTAGGCAAAATACTGGCAACACCAAAAAGAGCTCCATAAGTAGAGAGTACAAAGTTAAGTGTTAGCTTCCTTCCTATTTGTGTCCGAATGTCCCAGCAGATAATGATCCTGACACAAAAAAGGGCATTTGAAGAACCTATTCATGTATTCTCAGTTGGGCTCCCCATTCAGAGAGTATGGGAACATGCAGAGGAATGAAACACTCTTGGAGGGGGTGGGGAGAAAGTTTTCATACTTCACATTTCATAAAATTCTTAAGTCCGTGTTGTAAAGACGAGATTTCCCCAGTATTTCCCCAGGACTGAAATAAAGTGGTTAAGATGAAGGAGAGCTGTTGGAAAATTCCAAGGTGTTTAGATAGCCGTAGACCTGTAGAAACCAAGAGGGGGCAAAGCTGAGAACTACAAAGTCTGGCTGGAGCCCTGGCTCGGTGGCAGAGAGCGTTGACTCCCTAGGGGACCTATGGTCGCTTTTGGCCTCCGAAGACACCTGTACCCACATGGTACACACAAACTCCTGCAGGCACACACACAAAACACACAAAAAATTTGACTTACAGGAAGGTGATGACATTTTAAACATGTCTGTGTTTCTTGATCTCGTTTTAAAGAATCCTTTATGTCCCCAGGGTGCTGGAAGTAGTTAGGTACTCAAGACCAGCTACCAGCTGTGCAGGGAATGCATTCAGGTGCCCCCCCCCATTGCCAGAGTCAGAGAGCTGAGTTGGCGAGTCCATGGGCTACTTTAGAAAGAGTCACTTTATGCTGTAAAGTTCTTGATTGAAAGCCCAAAGTATGATACATCCATCCATATCACTCTCCTCTGCTTGCCTTCACGTTCGCCCGTCGTTTTCTGCAGCCTGCCTTGTTTCCCCAGTTCTCTGTCTCCTAATGTAATGTTCAGATCTAGCATGGGTGATGGGAGTGGACACAGGTAACCCAGTGTCACTCTCTATTTGCTGAAATTACAGTTGGTCAACCTACCTGGAGTTGTCCTGATGCTAAGAATGGAAGAGACGTGACTAAGTAATAAAGGGGGAGAGGAGTGTGCGGTCAACTGTTTAGTTCCATAGACGGGAAAGATGACCCTCACACCTCTAAGTACAGGAGAGTGACCCCCAATTCTTGTCTGAAGAGCACACTCTCGGTCTCCACGGAGGCAGTCTTGACACAGGTAGTTCAAAAACACGTTGAAAGTTGGTCTAAATGGATCAGTTACACAATTGTTCTGTTAGTTTTTCATGTCTTGTTTGTCACCAGGGAAACCAAAAGTTAACATTTCTCTTTGTCAGAATTTGCCGCCACTACAGAGTCCCCCTCCCTACTATGGCCCTGTCCTCTTAGCCTAAGGGTGTGCATACCTTGCCTGTACCTCCATCTGACTCCCAGGCAGTCTGTATAAAGACAGCAAGCTCTGGCATTGGTGTGTGATTCGTTGGTAAATTGCCGGTGTCGACATCCTAATTCTTTTTCGCCTGGTGAAGGAGCCAGATCTCCTGTGGTCGGCTGTGGTTTCCTCTGGGCCGGGGAGAGTGCCACGGAAACAACGAACCCTGTCTAGTTTTGACTCTGCTGGAGCATAGTGCACCCTGCGTCTTCTCCTGAGATGATGGGCTGTGAGGAGCTTACCCGGAGGCTAGCAAAAGAGACTTCCACAGGCCTCAGCCTCCTGTAGCCAATGGCTTGCTCAGACCACATATATTACCTTGTGCGGTTTCGCTCATCAAGGGGATTCCCGTCTTCAGCAGAACACAGCCTCGAGTCGTCCCTGGCTCCTCCAGAAAAGCAAGGGCACACATCCTGCCCCCAGAAGAACTCAAGGTGTCCCGGGTAAGCAGAAACAGGGGGAATCCTCCTCCCCTAGTTTCGTCTGGTGGATTTGGGGTTTTAGGGAAATGTGTCCTTTCTGAAGAGCTTAGAACTGCTTTCCTTGTGCTTTTCTACCCAACTGCTCCTCAGCGTTTCCCTGTCTCACCCTCTTCATGTGTAATCCACCCTCTCTGAGTTGTACTTTCAGTTTCAAGGTTTAAATTACAGTATTCCTCTTTTTTCCTGCATCTAAAATGTTTTTAGCTAACTAAGTAGTCATAGTTGCTCAGTTACTAATTATGCCTAGGTTCCCGGTTCTAAACCAGAGGCCCACAGTTTAGGAAGTGCTTTCACAGGTAGGCAGAGGAGAAATCTCCTTGCGCTTGGTTTGTGAAACAGTAAATGAGGGTAGCGTGTCTGTCAGGCATCCTTCTCAAAGGCCAACCTCAGAAACGACACCACTGGATCTGATGAAGGCAAGATCTCTCTCCCCATCTGTTGATCTGTTTTCTGTTGGCCGAACCAGCTCATCTCTTGTCTCTAGGCGTGTGGTTTGCTGTGTGTACATTCAGAGCAGTGGCATTTTTCTAGAAGTGACTAAGGCTTCTTGGATGAATTCTGTCTTTGAAAGAGGTGGTTGGATTGCATCAGAGAAGCATTTACAGTAAATGGCTCCCCCTTCCTGTGCTGACCACATGTGAAAGAGTGCTTTAATTCTTGTTTTGAGGAAGCGAGAGCCCCAGAGCTGTGTGAAAACTCCCTAGTCTCGTCAATTAGCCAGATTTGAATCTGAGAATTTTTCAAATTGGAATCACTCTGTGATCCTAAATAAATGTCGAAGGAGAGCAAGCTTTCCAAGTTCAGTTTGGAGCAACTGATGGTTCTGGCTTCAGAAAGAGGAAGTAGATACAGTAAATGACGTAAATCTAAGCTAACTTCTTCCTGGCCATTTTGTGTTAAGTTCATCTGTTTCTTGGACATGTTGATGCTTGGACCTTGGGGCACTAATTCTCAGCGAAAGCCTGTAGGTCTTTGCCAGGGTTCTCGGGAAGTGGGATTTCCCCCAGTGGAAATGTGCGAGGGTACTTTGTTTATGCGATAAGGGTATTTTAAGGGGCTAGCCCCATACAGAAAAACTTGCCCGCTATCCCGCATGACTTAACCTTAGGTGTTCATGTAAGGAAAAGTTGGTAATTTCCTGAGACTAGACTTAACGCCAGTTTTTTTTGTTTTGTTTTTTTTTTTAAGAAAACTAAACCATTTTGCATTTTCTTAGAGTGTACCCACTCTCTGTTGTCTAACAGTGCCTCACCCTTTTATCTGACTACTTGTTTAAAAAAATTTACAATTGCATTTATTTGTATGCCCACATGCTGCGCACGTGTGGAGGTCAAAGGACAGTGTGCAGAAATCAGGTCTTGTTTTCCACCTCATGCTGAGTGCTCATGTGGAAATCAAGATGGCAGACTCTGAGGTCTTAAATCCAAGTAAATTACAAGGGCCTGTTTCATTGTACAGTTTAATATATAATTTAATTTATAATTCCTTATATATTGAAATAAGAGTATTTCGATTATACACTTCTTTTCCCTTTTATGTTGGCTCTAGAGGATTGCCTTCGGCTTTTTAAAAGCTGCCTACACAATAGTTAATATTACTGTTGAATTTTATTTCGGAATAGTACCACATGACATGATTTTATTCTAGTTTTATAAAAAGGTGGCTTTGAGAGCTCCGGTCATGGCCCACTGGGTAAAGTGGAGAGGAGTACACACTGTCATGCCATAGTGCTCATGTGGAAACTCGGGTCCCAGCTAGCCTGGCACACAGAGAGACAAATAACAAGGGACCCTGTCTCAATCAATGTTGAGGACCTATACCGAGGTTGTTCTTTATCAGTACCTTTGTGCCCGTATTCACACTCATGAACATTTGTGCACACACACACACCTGTGCACAAGCACACATGCTGGCTCTAATTTTTTAAAGAGGGCTCTGTGCTGAGTAGGGTTTTAAAACACTGATTGATCCCACTGCTCTTGCTGCTTTAGAAGGGAGGGCAGTGTGAAGAGGGCACTCCCCCTGTGCCTGAGGTGCTCGTCTTCTTGTGCCGCCTTCCCAGTGGGCTTTCTGGACCTGTGTATTTTATTCTTTCCAGAGCTCACTTGATCTTTAGCCTGTTCCCTTTCTGTAAAAAAGGAAAAACAGGTATGAAAGGAAGTTTACTTACCATGGTGCAAACTAGCCAGGAGTTAAAAATAGACCCAGGTTTTCTTGCTATGGGACAATGTGTCCCTGCCTTCTGAACCTGTTCTGTGTGTGCTGTTTGCACTTGAGACAGCCCTGTCAGCCTCGATCACCATAGGGAAGGTACTGACGATACAGTACATTGACCTCTCAGCGTCACAGCCGAGGGTTAGGCTGACCAGCAAAGTGTTCCTTAGTGCTTGCTCGTGGGCCTGTGACTTTTAATTTTCTGGGCCTCTTATTTCAATGCTGTCTTGATATTGTATGGATGTGATTATTATTTCTCAAAGAATTTTGGGTTATTCATGAAAGTTTTTCTTTCTTTCTAGAAAAGAAACTCTTTGCTGTCTTATATTTTTCTATTGCTCCCAGGGTCTTTTTGTTGTTTATCTTGGTTTCTTGATACTTGGGTCTCTCTCCCTCTCTCGTGTTTCCTTCTGACTAGACACTGGGGGAGGGGGACCCCAATGCTGTGCTATTGGAAAGCTGCTAAGAATTGGGATGAGGACTTCATTTGGGGGTTCTCCTAGACACATTAGCAGTTGAGTCCCCATGAAGCTTAGAGAATTGCCTCCCTATTTTCATTTTGGGGGGGTGCGACTGAGGTCTGTTCTTCCTTATAAGCACAGGAAGTGGGCATGGGAGGAACACGTGTATGATTCCAGACATTGCTGCTGCTTCCTTTCCGTTCTTGTCATCATTTCTGGCTCTCACCGCACTTGCTTTCTTTGAACTTGAAACCCTATAGGGTTCTCCTGAATAAAGCTACTTGGCCCTCCTCAGTGTCTCTCAGACACTGAGTTCAGGCTTTGAGCTGCCTCTGCTTAGCATATTGGGTCCCATTTTACCCTCCAGACATTTGAGCAAAGCTCTCAGGTTCTTGTCTGTGAGTATGGGGCAGGCAGGGCTGTATGCATGAGTGCCATGCATCTACTGGCGTGCTTAGTTACAGAGAGGGAACCAAGAGAAACAGCAAAAATACCTCTCAGTGAATGGAATTGGATTTTTCCTGTAGCATACCACCGTCTTAAAATGGCAAGACCTTCACCCGATGATTTATTAGAATTAAATATGAACAATTGAGTCAAAAAAATAAGGTTAGCCAGATGGTAGTTTTTTGTTACCGTGGAAAGAGTTTGGCTCATGGTTCTGGTTTAGTCCGTCTGCCTGTTGTTTGGGACCAGTGTTGAAGCAACATGGTTGTGGAATTGCTGACTCGAGGGTAGTTGGGAAGTGAAAGGAGAAAATCCTTCATGAGCTCATGCCCAGTGACCTAATTTCCGCCTGCCAGACCCCACCCCCTAAAGGTTCTGTCTACCACTTGATACCAAGGACTTGGGACCAAGCCTTCAAGATCGTGGAGGGCTTCAGGATGCATTTCGAATTGAGTCATGGGAGAGAGGTAAACGGCATCCTGACTGCAGTAGGGTTGCTGAAAACTACCTCGAATTACATGACTGATGATTATTCAGGGTGAGCCTCACCTGGTTAGTTCCCACCTAGTCATTAAAACCTACAGAAGTAGTGATAGTTGTCTGATCTGCGGCTCCATTGCTGCTTGGTTCCTATAACATCTGGCAGTCATTCCCTGGGAGGCAGAAACTCTCCCACTTCCTGTTCTGAGAGATGTTTCTAGACACCCCCACTTATTTGTTAAGAACCTCCAACCCCATGTTGATTGTCCTTGCACTCTATGAAGTGGGAAAAGTAGATACCATTTAATCAGGTCTTGAACTTCCTGAAACAGTTGGTGAATTACCGTGGGAAAGTACGCAGATTTTAACAGGACTCATTCGTGCCTCAGTCAAGAAGCAGAACAGTTACGTTATGTAGTGATCTTCCCTAACCCTTCCCTCCCTTGCTGGCATAAACGTTTCTCTTACTCTAGTCTCCTACAGGTTGTCATAGAGTAGGAACTCTTGTCTACCATCTCTCAACTGGGGTATTTCACTGCTGTGTGCATCCATCCTCCGTTCTTCCTTCATAGGAAGGTGGTATTCTGCACCTGAGTGCTGTAGAGACGCAGTTGGTGGGTCTTCCTGGCCTCTGTTGGGACGCTTTCTACCTTCTCAGCTATCATGAGTACCACTGGAAGCAGGTCGTCTGTTCCTTTTTGGATTTATGGACCATACAGAAGATATATGTACCTTTATTTAGCTTCTAAGCTATTTGCCAAAGTAATCGTACCATTTTATATGTTATTCCAGCAAGCAGGGAGAGTTCCAGGTACTCATTTCTTTCCTAACTGTGTATATTGTTGATTTTCTAAGTTAGCTTATTCTCTTGGGTAACAAGTCGTGCATTATTGTGGTTTTAAATTTGGCATTTCCTTTATGGGTAATATGCAATTACTGGCAATGTATATGTAATATTTTTGGAGTGTCTATTCAAGTCTTTTGACTTTTTTCTTTTGTTTTTGTTTTGTTTTCTGTATGTTCCAGGCTGGCCTTAAGCTGTTGAGCCTTGTGCCTCCCAAGTGGTAGAGTAATTGGTATATATCACTATGCCTGACCCTTATTTGCTAATTTTAAATTCTTCTGCAAAGCTTAAAATTAAAAGAATTTAAACAAAAAATACTCCTGAACTATTGGTAGGTTGTTTTTTTTCCCCCTAAATCTTTGTCCCCAACTCTGAAGTTATCTCCAGTGTGTGTAATCCATGCTTTAGCTAGAAATCAGACTCCAGTTGTCCTGTGTGTTCAGAAGCTTACAAAAGAGCTTTACTTTCCTCATTGACTTGTTCAGGCACTGTTGTTGAAAGTCAGTTGTATATAT